CAAAATCCAAATCGCTCCTGAACTCCCCTCCCTTTTCCCTGGAATGCCCGCCCTCACAAACCAAACAGCACAATCTCGCCGCGGTCGTTCTTGCGCATCCTTAGCGACCGCCACAGCTCCTTCTCCTCAATGGTCCTTCCCAGGCTGTCAGAGCTGTTGTCGCGCTCGCGGTGGAAGTGACGCAGAGCCTTCTTCATGCTGTAGCCGCGGTCGCTTTCGGGGCCCTTGTCGACATAGGACAGGAGGAGGTCGCCTCTGGGACGGAACACGACCATCTGGCCCTCGGCATTCGCGCCCTCCCTGTCGTCGCCTGACGAACGAGGTCGGTACTCGATAAGCTTGGGGGCCTTGTCCGAGTCGGTGCGGCGGGAGGACTTGCGCGTAGAGGAAGAGGAGACCTTGCGCTTCTTGGTCTTGGTCTTGGAGGACGAGAGCAGCCCCATGAGGTTGCTGCCGATGCTGCCCTCGGAGCGCTTGCCGTGCTTGGAATGCTTCGAGGGCTTCTTCTTTTTGAGAGGGCTGACAGGTGCCTCGGCGACATCGCCGCCAGAGTAGTCGGGCGAAGGAGGGAACGCTGGCCGCATCATGCGGTTGAGGCCGCCGGTGAGACCAGAGTGCAGGACAGGCGGCGCATCGGCCATGATCTGATCCGTGTCGAGGTGTAGGCGCTTGCGCTTCTTGTCCTTCTTCGTGTCGGAGCCATCCTTCTTTTTGCGATCACCGCGTGGGGCAGGCGTCTCAAAGGCACCGGGAATGGGACCTGTGCCATACTGGTAAGGAGCCTCGGGGTCTTCGTCAACCGGGGCGCCAGAGGGGTCGAGGTAGGCGCTGGCCTCTGCCTCGTAACGGACGAGCTGCGTCTCTTCGTTGATGTGCCTCTCGCCAAGAGGGCCTAGCTGGAGTGTCGATGCGTTCGGGGTGGCGGACGGATCGAGGAAATCGAAAACGTTGACAGGGCCCTCGTCAGCAGGCGGCGGGGTGGGCGCCTCGGGCAGGTCGACTGGCGTTTTGGCGTCATCACTGTGGCCGTCGTACTCATAGCCAGCGAACTCGGGAACATCCTCGACGTAGGGTTGTTGAGACATGGCTACTTGCTGGTTGTTTTGGTTGTTGTTGTGCTTCTGTTTCTTTGGTTTATAAAGGGCACCTTGGTACTTTTGCTCTTCTGTCATGCAGCTCTAGAACGGACGTCAGTCGCATGCCCATCGCAGACGAGTCGCCAGACATCATGCTGGCGGAGGGAGCGGGTGTAACCTACGGTATGGGCACGATATTCAAGACCGGGGAAGTAGACCATGCAGTCAATGCAAGTGAAAGTAGCTCCTCGGCAGCGGTTTCTGTGGGGGTCGAGCTTCTTCTTGGTCAAGACATCACCACAACCCTATAGGCGAGAGAAGAGTGGTTAGATGATTGCTGGCTGAGGGACAGAGAGGACGTCGGCTGAGTTTTGTTGTATGCGTGGAGGGGTAGGCAATGTTTGTGGGTTTCGAGAGAGGGATGGCGGCAGGAGGGAGGGGAGGGAGGCAGGACGACAAGAGCATATATCACGTAGTCGCAAGCGCAGACACGGACACGCTCCCACGACAGCCAGGAGAAGCAGTAGGGTCTCGAGGGGCAGAAGTAAGGGGGGGGTTCGGTCGTCAAGGTTCGGGATGGACTGGTATGGGACGGGTATGGTATGGGTATGGTGTGTGAGCAGGGGTTGAGGGTCGAGGGTGGTGGTGTGATGTTTGAGAGCTTAGGAGGGAGCGGCGCGAGCGTGTGAAGTTAATTGTCGATTGTGGGTAATTAGTAAGATCC